CTTGGAAGAAAGAGTGATACTATAACTTGATTGTGGGGGACAGGTCAAAACTCCTTTCTTTTTGTGTTCTTGATAAACCATTCAACCAATACATCTATTATCCAAATTACCTGTTCAGTGCTCAGCCTCCATTTTATCTTGATTTTTCCACTTTAATCTTGTCTATGGACCTTTATTAAAGCATTCCCTTGAATTATCTGCCAACTCCCCATCTTTCTTGGAAGCTATTTATTTATTCTTAGGACTGTTTTATAGTGTAGTTTAATGAATTTTATCTTTGCTGTAAAATATTTTCTGACTGATAACTACCTTCAGGCACATACCTAAGGATGAATACACTGGCCAGGGTAAATCATATTCCTTCTTCCTTTTTATCCAGTGTTTATCTAGAATGTTGTGCGTGGGTGGCAAACAGGTTTTTTGGTCCAGCTATGTGGGATGGGAGCTACACAATGTCTAACATCTGAGCAACCTTAAAGAGTGATCCTCTGTATGAGATTATCAAGGCTTTCTTTTTCCAGTTGAGAATTTGTGTCTCACTCTTGTGAACATTCACCAGTCCTCCTTCCCTCCTTAAAAGGAGATGGGACCCAATAGCCCAATGTACATCTTTCTTCACAATTTTCATCAATTTTGTTTTCTTGCTTTGTCCTTTTCCATATTCCATGTTCCACTTAAATACATTCCCTTTCCTGTTAGATGTATGAAATCAGGCCCTTGACACGTCCATGAGGTTCCTACAGGTACAAGAGATAATGATTTCTTGCTTAACCAGGGAAGATGTAGCAATGGAAAATTTCTGCCCAGACTTACTCCTAGTGCAGCCTGTTGAGCTTCAATCTTTCATTCATATCCAGTGATGAAGTCACTATTTAGATAATCAACGTACACATTGCAAAGTTGGATGAGATCAATGACTTAATGAATTAGGAATTGAGAAAGGTATGAGGGTAATGATTATTTTATAAGGCTCATTAGTGTCCATCAGGAATGTGTAACTTCCTTTGGCTTGAAGGCCTTACCAGATTTTGTGCAGCATGCCAAGGACCAAGCTCCAGAAGTAGGGTGGGCTAAGTTTCTAACCATTAGCCTCCTCATCCCCCAAAATGCAAAAAAGGAGCTTACAATTTTGTTCCTATCCCCTCTGAGCAAACTTTGGAGACTAAAAAAAGGATGCTAGCAAGTGACATTGACCCCTGAGATACACTTTTTGCCGCCCTGATATACATGACAAGTTATAATAAAATAGTAAATTATCAGTCCCTGCTCCGAAGACTTACAATCCAAATGATTACTGTGGGTGAGAAAATTCAAAGGAGAAAGGAAGGGGTTAGTCTAGCTTTCCCCAATCTGGTACCTTCCAGATACATAAGGCTACAATTTCCATGTTTATGATGGCAGTAGTGGCCCATTGGTGCTGGGCTGAGAAATTCTTCTGAATTTTTTTTCCTACCAGTTCTCACCCAATTTGATGAAAGAGAATTTGCTTTAGAAATTCTTTCAAGGAAGAAGAGCATTTCTTGGTTTTTTCCATGGGCAGATTGGGCTATTCTTCCACTTATTTCATGAGGAAGAGGCCAAAGAGAGGCCTTCAGCCTATCATCTCTCTTCGGTGGATTGTAACCTTCCACGTGCCAATTCTGTTCAAAGGTAGGAACTCCTTCCATGGGCCTTTTTTAGTAGCAGTCACTGCCTGCTCAGAGGAATTCCTGATCTTGAGAAATTCTTATTTAATTTTTTCCTTTCCCTGGAGAAATTCTGAGAAATTGCCCGCCACTATCTCTGCCCGCAAATCTGATGGAGAATTCCAGAAGGTCATTTATGCCCAGTTCAACATTTAACACATGTGAAGGGAGGGTATGATTTGGAGAAGACAGTGCAATTTAGATGACTGAATTTCATGCTAGATATAGGGCTTGAAATGCCCAGAATCTGTCTACAATACCAAGGCAGCTGTCTCAAGAGTAAATATTTCTCTAGGGGTGTGCCATTTTGGCATTGTTATTGTGATAACACGGATCTGAAACCTCATTGAAGCCTTCCATACTTGCACATAACTCTGGTATGAACGGGCCCCAGCAATCTCTTCTTCCTGCCATGTCTTCATGATATTGCCTTGACTTCATCCCTAACGCATATCTGAGACAGTTTAAACCAGACCTTAGCTATTCTAGTGATAACACTGTGTTTTCCCTTTTAAGCAAACAAAAAGCCAAAGCAGTTTTGCTCTCCTGCAATCAGGCATACTTCATCAGCTATTTGGTCAATGCCGCAGTCAGATGACCCCAGAGGGTGGCACCTATCAGTGACTTAAGCCAGGATAATTGTGTCCCTTGTTTTGCAGTCCCTGGACACTGCCTTCCAGAGCCATTCCTCTTTGGGTGACAGGAGATTCTGATTCTTTTCTGATTCTTTCCCACAACCCACCAGGGCTCCAATTTGATCTTTGGATTATTTGATTTGATTTTGATGCCACCTGACTCCAGCTAACCAGCAGCTGACTAGTAGTGGCAATGGTGGTGCTGCACAGGGGAAGAGACATCTGGATCGTTCTCTGTGCTGTTTCATGGAGTAACTCTCCCTGTACCTCTCAGCCTTTGTTCAAGTTGCACTTGAACATGAATTTAGTGCTCTTCTGGATGAGTGGTCACAGGTTTACTGCTATTGCAGGAGAGGACCATTCCAGAATACTGCTATTCCAGAATCAGCTGAGAGTCAGTCTCCTATGTGAACATACCTCTTACACAAAACCAAATCAGGTTTTGACAAATGTCGAAACCTGCTGGTCAATCCATATGTCAAAAGCCACCTTCTCCCCAGGAAAGCCAATATTAAAGAGTGATTGATGGATGTTTTCCCAACAGCTGGTGGGAAGGAACAAAATCCACTCAATCGGCTTGTTAATAGTGCAGTAAATCAAGGCACCACCCTTTGCCAGCCATTTGCCTGTGGCAAGTTAGAGATCGACAAGAGGGCAGCAAATTTAGTACCAGTATACTTTTCTGCCAGCAAAACTATGAGTGCTTAACACTTTAACCTGGATGTAAGAAAGAGCTGGCAGCTTCCTGGACAGTTTTGAGTGATTATTCTTTCCTGGTCTTTGAAATGGGGACAATACAATTTAAGATTTGTTTTCAAGTCTTGGACCATGAAGACAAAAAGTGTCACAGAAAACTGATACAACAGGATTGTTGTGGAAAACAGACAAAAACGATCTGATGGAGTGAAAACAGCAAACAATTTTGGAAGAAGTGGATTACCTGGGCCCATGGCATCCAGGTTTCAGATGTGGGAGTGGGACTAAAACCACACTGGTTGCCGTTATGGATAACCTGTGGCAGGAATTGATGGACGCATAACTCTCCTTGTTCTGCTAGATTGCACAGCAGCTTTCAGTTCTGTCAACCACAGCATCCTTCTTGCCTAGCTTGGAGGTTGGGGGCAGCGATTGGTGGTGATTCTGCTCCTTTCTGAGTGGGTGGTGGGAGGACTGCAAACTGAATACAAGCCAGCTGTATGATACAGTTGCAAAAAAGAGCAGACCCAGCTTTAGGCCACAACAATAAGCTTGAAATGGTGGGAAATAAGTGTTCTCCTTTATCATTCGTTGGTCATATCCAACCTCAAGTACTGTGTGTGCTTAAGAAGGTAATATATTTAGAGATATTGGAACAGATTCGGAGAACAGCAAAGAGGATAAGCAGGAGACTAGAAACTAAGCTCTGTGAAGAGAGATTTGAAGAAGCTGAGATGATTAACCTTCTCAAGGCCTTTCTCTGGATGACCTGGGGAGACCTCATAGACCTTCTCAACAGGGGGTCAAAAAGCCCAGATGGCAGCAGTGACTGTGTTAAATCCCACCCTTTTTTTACAACGGCGGCACATGTAAAAGTGGGAGGGGGCTTCAATCACATGGTTGCCACTTGCCATTTTTGACCACCTCCCCACTTTAAAAGATGTCAGATAGAAGAAAGCCTGTTCTCGCATGTTCTAGAGTGCAAGACCCAGAAGAAAGAAGTTACAGGAAGGCAGATTTCAAAGGAATGTTAGGGAAAAAAATCTGAACAATAACAGCAGCAACTCACGCAATGCCACCGATGACTCAGAAAGATGGTGGGCAGGTTCCCCTCCTTGATGTGTTCCAGTAAAAGCTAGGCAGCCACTGGTCTGGGATGTCTGAGTCTGGAGTCCTGCAAGGGGCTAGATTTAATCATTACAATACCGTGGTTCTAGGAAACAGAAATGTTGTCGGAAGTTTCCTGTCATTGGGTTATCCAATGACATTTTCCCCTGCAGGGTTAGCCTATGTTTTACAACTGTGTAACAAGCAAAAACCTTTCTTGCAGGAGAACTCTAGCTTGATAAATACATTTTTCCAGTGCCATAACTGTCATTAAAAACACAGCATCCATATAGGAGAAATAATGATTGTCCTACAGAGGACAATCAGTTGCCCTTCCTTTCAGGTTGTCAAGTCACATTCTTTCTCTTTCTAAGCACAAGTGCGACCAAATGCCCTCCTGATGCTGTTGGACCCCTTCCCCACTCCCATCATGCACAGCCCATCTAGCCTGTAATCACGGATGATGACTATTTCAGTCCCACATACTCTGGTTGCCCAGCCCCAGTTGTAGTGTCTGAATACACTGCTTCATCCAGTTCTGCCCTTCATCTTTACATTCTCCTTAGATCTCTCTGAGAGTCCACACATGGCCTTCGCCACTTCTCTGTCTAAGCCCCAGGTCCCCCCAGTTTGCACTGGAGTACTGATGGCTGGGCTGTTATCTGAGATCCAAGCTGCAGTGACACAGCATGTGGAAGGCAGACTCCCAATTAAGCTACGGTTTGGGCTGTTCCCACATTATCCTCAGGGCAGGGCAGGGCAGGGCAGGGCAAAGCTCCAGAGATATAAAGTGCAGAGGAGGTAGCACAGCCTTCTTTTGTCCTAAAGCAGGGAGTGGCAGAGGAAGTCAATGTGCTGATCTTTGGGGTCCTCCAGGATGAACTGCAAGCAGCATCTTGGCACGGTGCCTCTGCTCTTTGTTTTAATCCTGAGTTTTCATTTGCAAGGTATGTTGGGGACGATGGGACAGAGGGATTCACTCTTCAGGGACAGATATTTATCAAATAATTGTTAAATCTGCACCATCCATGTTATTCTAAATGACTACTTTGACCCCCCCCTTTTTATTTAGGCCTTTACCAACATTTAAGTGAGATGTTTGTCTTTAAGGGGCCAAACAATTCTTTGCCATTTCTGCCAGGCATAATATTACCAGATCTGGGATGTAAACATTTAGATGACCACTAGTGGACATCCAGATGTTTGCCTCCCAGAGGTGGTAACACTGTACCAGCTGTGTTGCATCCTCATAATTCTGAATTTGCTCTTTAGGACTGAAAGTTTAAAAGATGTCTAAGCTACATGCTACATCTCTTCACAAATAGCGCATAAGCTCTGCTCTTTGTATCCTTTCTGGCCTAAGAAAGGAGGCAGGAAGCTAGTGCTGAGAAGTTCTGCTGGTTCCATCAACTGAGCCAGACCCACACCAGCTTCAGGTGGAAGCAGTCCATGCTAAAATGGATTCAAAACTTAAATCTGCATTGTGTCAATGGTGCTCTTTTTCAAGCTGAATTTTTCCATCTGTAAAACAGAATGAACAGAAACTAAAAGTATGTTGTGATATATTAAACTATGGCTAAACAATTAGATACTAGAATTGTATGCTACTGAAAAAATAGAGAACTGGATATGACTGGAAACAATATGTAAGTTACTTCCTGACCATCTTAAATCAGAAGTTAGTACTGCATTAATAAGTCAGTTTGAAAGCTCATTGGAGCAATGTATGTATGTAGCAAATAAGCTACATTTAGAGGGTACTCGGGTGAAATCCTAGTATGACCAGGTACCAACCAGCTGAAAAATATCTGGCTGAAACTTTGGAGAATTGTTGTCACAGCATGAAAATACTGGGCAGCATGGAGCAATGGGCCAGTTCTATAGCAACTTCTCATGTTCTAACTCTGATAACCTAATTACACATTGCACTAAGCCATGGCTTATTTAATCATGGTTTGTTGACCAGAGAACCATTGTAGGGCGGTGGTTAAAGGTTTGGGATGATGATGATGATGATGATGGAGGAGGAGAAGGAGGAGGAAGAGTTGGCTAGGTTCACATAAGCTATGACTGAAGAATTTCTAAAAATTTCTCATTCAGAAAAGAGTCTGCCATATGAACAGTGACAAATTCAGTAGAAGGAAATTGAATGACTGCAGGGAAGATTCATTCAAAACATTTGGATGGGCCAGATTTATTGCAAAATTTACCATTCAGAATAGCCTTTAAGAAAGTACTATGTTGACTAAGAAGTAGGATGTGAAATGGTATGTGGATTGGCCTAGGCCAGTGTTGTCCAAACTTGGCCACTTTAAGATGAGTGGACTTCAACTCCCAGAATTCCCCAGCCATGAAGCCACTCATCTTAAAGTGGCCAAGTTTGGACAACACTGGCCTAGGAGGAGGAGAAACCAAAGGATCGAAACTTGGTTCATGTAATGTATACTGTAATGGAATGTGGGAATGACCTTGGGAGACAGGGGAAGAGATGCTGCCTAGGCAACAATCATAAGAGAGGACATAGCCCACAGCTGCATAATGGGCAGAGCAAGAAACTCAGAAAGGAACCTCCCTAACTTATCAGGCTATAA